ACACAAATGACAATCCATTGAAGATTAAATTATGGAATATTCACAAAGAAAGTATTATCCAGTTGCTAAAAATAAACTCATAAATTATCAACAAGCTTAACCTACAACATTCTAGAACTCTTGAAGAACTCCCTAATGCCCTCTTGCAGTTATTCATTCTCTACTGACACTTATAAACTAAATAAACATATTTAATACTCAGAACATTCCTGAACATTTGAGGGGGAAGGGTTACTGGGGATTGAACTCAAAGTCCCTTTACCACTGAGCTATATCCCCAGATCTTTTTATTTTGAGATAGATCCTTGCTAAGTTGCTGGGGCTGGCCTCAAACTTGTGATCCTCCTGTCACAGCCTCCTGAGTCACTGAGATTACAGGCATACACCACCAAACCCAGCTCCATCCCTGAAGTCTCACTTCCAGTCACTCTCAACAAACTGAATAAACATATTTAACCATCATCCAGGTCTACACAGAACATTCCAGAACTCTTTAAGCGCCCCCTAATGTTCACTTCCAGTCATTTGCCAAGAAAGATTGCAAGTTGGATAAACCTATTTGAACATGTCCCAGGTCTACATAGTACATTCTAGAACTCTTTTTTAAATATATTTTTAGGGCTGGGGATGTGGCTCAAGTGGTAGCGTGCTCGCCTGGCATGCTTGCAGCCCAGGTTCGTTACTCAGCACCACATACAAACAAAGATGTTGTGTCCGCCGATAACTAAAAAATAAATATTAAAAATTCTCACTCTAAAATAAATAAATAAATATATTTTAAATATATTTTTTAATATTGATTTTTTTAGTTTTAGGTGGACACAATATCTTTATTTTATTTTTATGTGGTGCTGAGAATCGAACCCAGTGCCTCGTGCATGCTAGGCAAGTGTGCTACCACTTGAGCCACATCCTCAGCCCATTCTAGAACTCTTTAAGCATATTTTTAAACTTTTTTAATTTTAATGACTTTTCCAAGTCATTCACTCTCTAAGAATGATCACAAATTGAATAAACCCATGTAACCATTACCTACGTCACACAGAACATTTCATATAACATCCAATTTGTGATTAGTTCAAGCTGTATATTTTTTGTATGTATGTTACACTCCAAAAATGTTTATGTCAAGTGAAGTGGGACATACCTGTAACCCCAGTGGTTCAGGAGGCTGAGGCAGGAAGATTGTGAGTTGAAAGCCAGCCTCAGCAACTCAGTGAGGCCCTAAGTAACTTAGCAAGATCCTGTCTCTAAATAAAATATTTTTTAAAAAGCGCTGGAGATGTGGCTCCGTGGTGAAGCTCCCCTGGGTTTAATCCCCGGTACAAAAAAGTTTTAAAATGTGCATGTGCATCTATTATAATTATGTTTCAATATGTACAGAAAAAGATAATAAGTTACACAAATCAAACTATAATATAACACATGAGAAGGTGGTAAGCTGAGCTGTTCCCTTTTTACCTTGAATATATCTATGAGGTTTGAACTTTTTATCATGAGCTTTTTTCCATATTCATAATCTAATTCATTTTCATAATTTAAAAATGAATAAAGAAAAAACTCTTGAAAAAAAGGAAAATAAGTTGAAAACACTATGGAATGTTAATTTTGTCTCTGAGGAGGAAACACACATGGTCAGGATTACAAATCCTAGAATTCTTGACCCTCAACCCATAACCACAGTTCCTCCTCCAACCCTGACCCCACAGGTTCTGGAGGGAGATAAGTGCCTACAGTACAGATTCCCACAAATAAACACCTCACTGAGCTTTCACTCCAAATTTCAGTGTAGTAACTAGGGGAGCTGGATACAAATTCCTTTTGTGCTGAAGCCTCAGAGACACGACTAGAAGCTTCTTTCTCTAAGGGATATGTTCTGACCTTAGCTCTCCTTTCATCAGAGATATAAGTAAGCAAACCAGGCCTGACAGACTCCTTAGGCCCCTTTTCCTTGAGCCCCACCCAAGTTTCCTCTTGTCTTTGAAAACAAGAGCGGGTGTCTTTTGAGAAGGTAAAGATACCTCTCTTATCACACTGCATAGATGGAAAGAGCAGAATCTCAAAAGAGAGAGACTCTAAAGAGGAGCCCCAAAAGAGCATTCCACATAGACTCAACAGCTTTTAATTTCTTCACAACAGTTCCATACACCAGTGTGCCTCCAGTATTTCCCTCAATCCAAGTTCGTACATGTATTTCACTTCTAAGATTTTGGCCATATCTGCCACTCACTGTTCATTTAAGATGCTTCAACTTTTTCTTTGCTATGTCTGTTTTTTAAATATATGTATTTAAAAGAGTTATCTGCTCAATTTATTTTAATAGATAACTTCATATCACTATCATAAATGGAAAGCTAATATCACGTGCCCCAGATAGAAGGTAAGTATTAGGTATATAATAATAAATATTACCTAGGGGTGGAACTCCTTGACGAAGACTCCTCATGCAAGTTTTCCTCAGGAATGTCTGGAAGACGCGGCTTGATGCTCCTCCTAGAGGTTAGAGTGTGTGGTTAATACTTCCCGGGAGATTTTCTTTCAGCTTCTCCTATAGGTTAACATTCCCTTGTGATTTTCTTTCAGCTCCTTTTATAGGTTCGAGTGACACTCTTTCAACTCCCATTATAGGTTGGAGGGATTTTCTTTCAGCTCCCCCTATGGGTTAGAGTGTGGGTTATTCTTTAACAAAATTTTATTGAGTAACTATTCCATTTCAGATACAGCACTAGCCACTGAAAGTGCAAGAAAAAAAAAAACAGGAATTTGTACTGTAATGGAAAAAGTATTGGGAAAAAAGGTGAAGGAGGTTAGAAGATGTTGGACATAGACTACATACGCTAATGACATAAATATCCTAAACCCCTTTTTATTCAAGCCACTGCAATTCAATTCACCCACTAGAAATATACTGAGTCTCTCAGGGACCTAATCATCAGATCCATTGAGAAATTTTCAATTTACATCTAACTGAACTGGTAGACCACTCCCTCCTTAGCTTCACTTCATCTAGTGATATTCTGTAGATTTTCCTCCCACCGCTCTTGCTGCCATTTGTTCTTCAACCTGACTCCTAAATGTTTATGCTTATTAGAATTTCCACCCCCCTCACTTACTCCCTGCTTAAGTCTACACCCAGGGCTTCTACCCACTTAAGTTAGACTTCCAATCCTCAAAGACTACAGGGCCTCTGTTTCCCTTTCCAGCCTCATTTCCCCTATTACCAAATTACTGGAATTTCTTTAATAGTGCCTTGGTCTCTTCTTGCCTGTATCGTATTTCCCTCTACCTGATTCCAACATCCACTCAACTATGTTCTTCACAATTCAGCTTCAGTGGTCCCTCTTCTGGGAAACATTCCAGTATCCCAGCCCATGTTCTCACTCTGTACTCCCAATATGGTCTCATCAGAGCCTCGAATGGTCAGTGTAATTCCATTTATTCCACCATTCTGGTCTCCCTGAAGGCATGAACTTACTCTGCATTTACACTTCCCAGCACAGAGCTCAATAAATATTCATTAAATTAATGCATATAAGAAATTCTTGAGCTGTAATCAAACAGAGGAAAAGGAGCTTAGAGGTAGAGGTTGAAATGTGTGTGAAGCAAGAATATTTAAAATGAGTAATTTAGACCTTCTCCCTTTTTCCCTTCCTTCCTTAGAGGCAGCCAGGGCAGTAGGGCAACAGGGTCAGATCCAAGGAGATGGTTGGGCCAAGGAAGCAGTCTGAGTGGTGGCTGGCCAGGTAGGAAACTGGTGACATATAGAATTGAGGAGGAATTACATTGAGGATAAAAGGAACCAGGTTTCTCACTATCAGTAAATGGAATTACAAAATACGTAATTGTACAGTGCAGAAACATGGTAGACACCTCCTTAACCAAAGGATCAAGGTGAACAGCTACTAATGGGACAAAGTAACACCATGTACATCCTAAAATGATACATTGAGAACACTGCATCACTTCCATGGTATTTCTTTCTAAAATGCAAAACCTAAATTTAATCATGAGGAAACAACAGTCAAACCCAAACCAAGGAATATTTTACAAAATAACTGACCAGCACTTTTCAAAAATTTGAAGTTGATAAAAGACAGGGAAAGACTGAGGGACTTCCAGATTGAGGGATACTAAAGACACATAATGACCAAGTGTAACAGAAGTCTATATTAAATCCTGGCCAAGAAAAAAAATCGTTTATTCTTTTCCTTCTGCTAAAAAAAGGATTATTGGGAACAGGCAAAATTGGAATGGGTCTGCAGATTTGATGACAATTTTGCATCAACATTAAGTTCCTGATTTTGATAGTTCTAATATGGTTTATGCAGAATGTCGTTGTCTTTAGGAAATTTACACGGAAGCATTTATGAGTAATGATGTCTCATGTTTGCAATTTATTCTTGGATGGTATACACAGACACACACACACACACACAAAATGATAAAGCAAATGTGGTTGAATGTTAACAACGGGGGCAGCTGGGAGAAGGATATATGGAATTTCTTTGGGCTATCGTAAGATTTTTACAAATATGAAATTATTTCAAAATGTAAAGTCTTTTAAAATAAAGTAATCCATTGACTTTTTAAAAACTGAAAATAAAATCAAGGGTTTATGACCCAAGTCAGGGATGAAAGGCTTTATTTTTGCCTATTTACATATCTCCCTGTCTTGTTCAAAAAATAATTTAGAGACTTATAAATATATAAAAAACAAAAAGAGAAATTGAAAACAAGTAAAAAATATGTGTGACCCAGGCAAGAACCTTCTAAATTGTCAAATTCTTCAAAACACTCTTGAATTTTTGACAGATTATGTGTGGAGGTTTTTCTTTGTTTGGGAAAACAGCCCCAACTTCAATATAGCTATCATTTCTTTGTGTTCTTGATACCTTTTAACACAAAACTTGACTTGACATTAGATACAGAGAATGGACTTTTGGAATATGGAGCAGAAAACAATTATCAAGAAGAATAAAAGAGATAGACTTTTAAAACACTATATTTTATGCATGTACACACTTTATTAAATTTGCATTCTAAGATATATGCAAGGCCAGCATTTCACAAAACTTTCTATTATTATTCTATTATTCCAAAAGCAGTTGTCATGAAACAGTGATTATAAGTCAAACAGTATCTGTAGGATTATCTTATGACTTCTTGTACTTGTTTTCAAATAGAAGCTTGAAATATATGATATAGTACTAGAATAGGAAGAGGGAATTTTACTTTATAACAATAATCACTTCTCAAATATTAGACTTTATATAAAAATAAAGGGGTACTGTCAAGAAAGCTCATCTGTGGGCTAGCATATGTCTTTTATTGATTTCAAAACAATCCCTGCATAAACCTAACGTTTCAGTCCATTTAAAGAATAAAAACTGAAAATGAACCTTAGTTTAAACAATAAAGTGAATCATCTTGCCTCTCAGTTCTCATACCACTGGAATAATTTCAATTTCCTGCTCTAGCCCACCACTGGATTTCAAAAAATATATTTAAATATCATCATATTTCAAAGGTTCTCTCCTAACATTCCTACATTTGAACCCAAGAGTGTCCCTTTAAGGCAAAGAAGACAGTAGAGTGAAGGTGGACAAATCTCCTGAAAGACAAAACCATTATCATTATAGGAGCAAAAACATCTTAACATGGTTCTTTTACAAACAGAATAGATATACCGAGTACCATCAAAGAGATTGTCTTTAAGATGGCACACAAGGGGACAGTGGCATTAGTTTCGAAGGGTTTTTGGCCTTTGCATAGGCGAAAGCAACACAGGAACAAAAGCTCTTAGTGGCTGTGATGGCAGTGATTACAATTTAAAATAAAGGACACATCTAATTCTTTAATAGAACTACTGCAAGCTAAGTGAAATTCTCTAATAATTGGAAGAGAACAGGTTTCCCTTCAATAGCAATCTGCTATTGCTAGTCTAGGGGTGCCTTCAAAGCACACCATCTTCCTTAAAAATCCAAGGATCTTTGCCTTCAAAAGACACAAGTGCAGTAGTTTTTGTTTCTTACATTCATTTAAAAAATGGAATATCATGATCCTAGCAGGCAATGTGCATATTAGACAGAGACAATCCAACCACAATGTCTGAAGATGAAAAGAACACGACATTTTACATGGTATAATTCATAAATAACATAACAAGAGAGTACACTCAGATTTCCTAAATAGCTCAGCCACACATTTCCTTTTGTAAAAATTAAATAACACGGTACCTCGTACTTACTAGTAGGTACAGTTTTTACAGCTCAAACAGCTTCTTAAAAGCAGAATGCAAGATAACATTGACTTTTTCAGCTCCTAAAAGCTTTCTCATAGAGATTTAACTGCCTTTACGATAAGGCAGTATGTACACAAACTGGATTCCGACTCTGGCAACAACACAATAGCCAAAACACCAGTCACCACATGACAAAACAAACAAATCCAATGACACAAAGAAATCAGAAAAAAGCAGCAACTGAAATAGTATGTGGCTATCACACACATAAAGCCTCCTTTTTCCACACTACCTTAGGATATACATCCCTTACAGCATGACAATGTACCCCAAGGCACCTAAGGCCTCATAATACCACCGGAGACACTGACAGCTCCAAGGACCACTTGCTTTGTATGCAAATACATTATTCATTCATTTGTAGATGCTCCACACATCTGGTCAAGGCAGGAATTTCTTCTCCTTGATAACACCACCTAGAAATATCAATAATATTTTATATATTCCTTAGGATAACAGGTTTGGGAGGAGAATTATCAACTGTGGCAGCAAAGTCATAAGAACCTGGGGTGACTAACATAGGCATCCTGAAGTTCATTTACATTCTCAGCACTAAAATTGATCCTCTCATCATACACTCCACTAGCAAAGAAGCAACAAGGATAGTGATGGAAGCGACTAGGCATTTCTTCCCCTCTGTGAGAAATGGCAAGTAAGCAGCAGCTCAAACAGGAAAAGAAAACAAAATAATGCACTTTAAGCTAATGCAGAAAACTAAAAATTTAATCTGTTCAAAAGCAATTGGCATATTGCTGGGAAATAAAGGGATTGGAAACCATGTAGTTGACAAAGAACAACAACAGAAAAATCTCTCAAGCAAGAGAATTTCTGATCAACTTGATCACATCACTGCTAGGGAAAAGAACCATGATAGCAAGTCCATATCAGTGCCTCCCTTAAGCATATAGACTTGAAAGAAGGTGCTCTTTGAGGCACTTAAGAAAAGCAAAGCTTCTAAGAGATCAAAAATCGGTATTTTAAGATTTAGTCATTAAATGCAAAATGAGATTGACAAAAACAGACATGATAGTAAGTAATTAAACTTTAGAGGGGAGAGATACCCCCCAAATAACAGCATCAGAATGACTGACATCTGTCAAACTTCAATCCTCATTATGGATCAAAGTTCTCTGTGTTCCTCACTGAATATTTCATGTGGGAACCGGCAGTTAAAAAGCACTGAGTCAGAAATCGTTAAGTCACTTGGCTGAGAGATCATCCATCAAGATGAACGAGGAGCATGAATTGGAGCATGCTACTGGAGACTGTGCAGGAACGCTGCCTGTAGTCAGTGAGTCTGAGGATAAGCCACTGCTTCTACTACTGCCATCCAAAATATCTGAACTGAGGACAAAGCAAAAAGAATTATAAGCAAATGCAGCTATCAGGGTAAACATACATGCAACCACACGGTTTCAAAGACTCACGCATCAATGGAGCATTTGTAAATAATAAAAAGCATAAAAGCAACAGCAATGAACTAACCTGTGAAATTATATTCACATAAACCCTGAAAGACAAACTTTCAAGGTTCTGTATCATTTGTGAATTCCCCCACCCACAACAGGCAGCAGGCTGTCCCAACACAGGGTAAGCATTCATAAGCATTTCTCTTGCATGCCATGGTTTTTGCAAGAGGGTTCCCTGACCTTCTGCTCAAGAGGTTAAACATCTTCATATTTGGGCTGGCTATATAGCTCAGTTGGAAGAGTGCTTGACTCACATGCATGAAGCCCTGGGTTCAACCCCCAGCACTACAGGTTAAAAAAAAATGTGTGTGTGTGTGTGTGTGTGTGTGTGTGTATACTTATATTTATCTTTTTACCTTCCCATCAGCCCAGACTCAGAGAGGTGCCACTTCTTGGGCTGGCTAAAGTGTGCCATCAGGCACATTGCTTTCCAGCTCCTCTACTCTAAAACAAACTCTTTCAACCACGTTAGAGCTGACCACTTGCCTACTACTAGAGTGTATGTTTTCTTAGCTGGATACAGTGGCTGAGGCAGGAGTATCACCAATTCAAAGCCAGCCTCAGCAACTCAGTGAGACCCTGTCTCTTAATAAAATATAAAAAAGGGCTAGGGATGTGGCTTAGTGGTTAAGCACCCCTGGGTTCAATCCCTGGTACCAGAAAAAAGAAAAAAGAAAGAAAATAGTGATTTTCCCCTCCAATTTTATGCCTTTGATATTCTTCTGATTTTATGAATTCCTTATGCCATTTCCTTTTTTCTTGCTTCCAAACCTCAAAGGTCTCCCTATCCTCTCCAAAAGGTTCTTTTCTTTGATCTCTCAGGTACTCTCCAGTTAAGCTTTTAAAATGAATGCTCCCTATCCATGGTCCCAATATCCTTATGACCACTGCCACTTTAATGTGAACAACTGGCCTCTGTGCCTGTGTTTCCACTGAAACTGATCTGAACATTAAGCATCTCTTTAACTCAGGCCAGGAATACCTGCCCCATCTAGCCAGGCGCCCACTGTTCCCAACAATCAAGCCAGACTGCCTTATGGATCTGGCTTCATACTTTAGAAGGGATTTGAAAATTCTTGCAATTTGGCATCAAGCTGCCTTTCTGACTTTGACTCCCATCAATCTAATATATAAGCTCCATGTTCTATATTTTCCTGAATTCACTCATTTGCTTAGTATAACATTTACTGAGTGCCTGCCAAATGTAGGAAGTAAGCTAGATACTAGGACAAAGGCATGAAAGAGACATGTTCCCTGTCCTCACTGAATTTAGGAGAGAAACATTTAAGTAATCATGCTAATAAATATATAATTATCATTTGTCATAAAGCTACTCAAAGCAAGATACAAAGGCCTATGAGTGCTCAACATATGGATAACCTAATCTAACCCGGAAGAACTGGGAAAGGCTGCCCAGAGGTGATATTTGCAGTATAATCTGAAAGACGAACAGGAATAAACTAAGCAAGGTTTGTGAAGAAGCAAGGGTAGTTCTAGGAATCAAAAGCAGTCTAATGTGGTTGTAGTATGGGGAATAAAGAGAACACATTAATAGACAAAGCTGGAGAGGTTAGGCAGCTTAAGAATTTACATAGCTGGTCACAGCAGCACAAGCTCGGGAGGCTATGGCAGGATGATCGCAAGTTCAAAGCCAGTCTCAGAAACTTAGCAAGGCTCTAAGCAACTTAGAGAGACTCTGTCTCAAAGTAAAAATTAAAAAGGGCTGGTGGAGGGAGAATTGGGGATGTACCTCATTTGGTAGAGTGCTTGTCTTGCATGCACAAGTCCCTGGGTTCAATCCCCAGAACCACCAATAAGTTGCGGGGCAGGGGGACCTGGGGATATGGCTCATAAATTAAGCGCCCTGGATTCAATATCCTCAGTTCCAAAAAACAGAATTTACACAGTCATATTTTTTATTTTTTGAAAGGGAAAAAAGTATATTATTGTAGAATGAGTTATGAATCAGGAAATATGGGTTCTAATTTGAAGTTTGGCCGCTAGCTCATTTGTGAGAACCTATCTGACCTAAGAGGCACTGAGTCTAAATGTTATGAGTCTTTTAATATTATTTTTATGAATTTCCAAGTTAAAGCTATGCTGCATTTGGAAGTCTCTGGGCCATATATTACACTCAATGAAATGTAATCTACCCCTGTCCCCCACTTCTCACTATTCTGTTTTTAAAATGTCATTTCTTACTGTGCACTATGGTACATTCCTATAATTCCACTAACTCTAAGGCCGAGACAGGAGGATTCCAAGTTTGAGATGAGCCTAAGCAATTAGTGACACTCTAGTCTTAAAAAAAAATAACACACTTGGATGTGGCTCAGTGGTAAAGCACTCCTATGTTCAATCCCCCTTCCCCTTTTTTTTTTCCTTGTCAGTGCTCGGGGTGGAACCCTGGTCCTGGAGCATGCTAAGCAAGTGCTCTACTAGTAAGCTACACCTCCAGCCCCCAAATATCATTTCCTTTTCTTGCCTATGGAGTGATTTTAGGTGGAGACAGACTACAAATAGGCTTTGGAGAAGTAAAAATAAAAATGGAAACAGTATACTCCACACTACTCCTACACTATGCTCACTGCTGTCAAATGCCTCATTAATAATTCCACTTTTAAGTAAGAAGTTCGGAAAATTTAGCTGGCCCTGATATTTGTTCAACCAAATGGCAAAATAGGTCTAAAATATGAATTATTCAAACTACTGAAAGAAAGTGGCACAGATACTCCAGGACATTGGAAAATCAAAAAGACCTTTCTATTTTCCTTTGGAACATATGTAATTTTTCCTCCTGCAGCTTTTTGCCTAGACTAATATTAAAATGAATTTACTTTCTTAAAGCACATATTGGCTGGACAGCCGAAGGACACGCTCTATGCTAGTTGGCAGGAAGAAAACAGGCTTAGATTAAAATTTGGCCACCATGCACATAATCTGAATATAAATAAAGAATTCCTTATTCCAACCACAAGACTTATGGTGAGCCCTGGGATAAAAGATTCCATTTGTACTAGAACTTGCTTGCTTAGGTGAATCCACTATTAATTTAGAAATGTATAATAATATGACACAGGCAGTGGAATTTTTCTTCTAACACTGTTGATTACCTTAAGAGAAATAAACACATGGAGAAGTTACCAGGAATTTTTTTTAAAAAAGCTCAACTTTTTATTTCAGGATTTCTTCTCTATTATTACATAAAAATGTATGTAATCTGGTTCATTAAGAGAAAAACGGCACACTTACATTTTAGTTTCCACTGCAATTTAGATTCAGAAGTTGGTGAAGTTTTAGCTAGGTACTTTTGCTAAACATATAATCTAATTTCTGTCCTAATAAATCTGGCATTACTATACATAGTCATGGAAGCAGAAATGATACAGGTCACAAATCACCAACTGTTATATCCGTGTAAAGCAAAACTTATACAACTTTTGTATCCACAGAGAGATCACCGTACAAAAGTAATTTTCACAGCGATCATTATTAAAGCTTATATCAGAGCTTCTAAAAACAACATAGTCTGGTCTAATTTGAGTTTCTCTTCTTTTTTCACTTAAGCTCTGATAAAGGTGCTAATGAGCTTTACTTCCACTAATGGCCAAAGACCATACAATGATAGAAAAGCAAAGGACCTATACAATTTATTTTGTATAGAGGAATACCTGAATCAAAAGTGAACTAATTCACTGCAGCCACTGAATATACATTATCGAGACAATATTGGAACCACACAACTGAGAGTACCAAGACTGTGAAAGAAGTACCCTGTCTAAAAACTACGGGTGAAAGTATAAGCGAATCTTAAAATAGTCAAAGGAGAAAACAATAACAAAACTAGGATATCCAATGTGGCTCATGTTATCTCCCCAACCGGGCAAGGCACAGAGACTCATCCAGTCAATAAATTAGCTTCTGAGCCAGGTGTGGTGGCCCTCACCAGTAATCTCAGCGGCTCAGGAGGCTGAGGCAAGAGGATCACTAGTTCCAAAAGCCAGCCTCAGCAAAAGTGAGGCATTAATAAGCAACTCAGTGAGACCCTATCTCTAAAATCTGGGCATGTGGCTCAGTGGTAGAGTCCCTCTGAATTCAATCCCTAGTACCAAAAAAAAAAAAAAAAAAAAAAAAGCCAAGAACTATCAAGATTAATGACAGGCAGGTAAATGCAATAGCAATCAGTCACAGTCCTATCTAGCCTAGTGAGACTTTGGTATAAGGAAGGACTACATACAGAGCATCCCCAACCCCATGGTATGAACTGAACTACTGAACTGATACATACAGATCTCAGGCTCTATAATCTTGCCTTAGCAGGACCCAGTATTATCTTTCCAAATAGGATTACATATTTAAATATGACCATTTTCTTTTACCTTGGGGACAGGAATTTAAAAGTATCTATACACATGTCTGAGTATTTCATATAAACATCTCTAAAGTCTATGTATACATTCTAAATATTAATCATATAAATTAATTTTATAAAATATATGATTAATATTTATTTTTGTCATATTTCTTTTTGTCAAAAAATATTTATTTTTTTACATGACATATATAACACTAAAAATTATGTTAGAACCACTGAGACAAATTTCAGGCAAAATGTTAAAATAAACTCATTAATACTAATGCACTAGGCAAAAAAATTCATGGGAGAATGTTTCCTTTTATGTAGGAGAAATAGACTATCACTTAATCTTCATAGAAAGGCCAGAAGCCCTGAAAATGCCTTTATTCAATATAGCATATTGCAGATACTGAAGTCCTGCTCATAATGGAGCAAGAACCACAGAAAGAATTCCCAACATGCAAAAAGAATCAAAGAACCATACAAAGATATACTTCTGAGTTATACTCAAACACTTGATGCTCATAAGGACTAAATGAGAAATGACATAATTCCTGCCTTATGGTTAATGATGTTCCCCAGATTCAGTTGGCAATGACTTCAGAATTTTTATTTAGTTTATAAAAAATAAAAAGTATGCTTAACTGGACAGAAATCCCTACTCAAATTTAATTTATACTTCAAAGATGTCAGATTTTAAAGACTACCATCTAGTACATAAACTTTAAAGATTGTAAAAACCAATCTTTTTCCTTTCTTTGTTGGGTGGGGCAGCAACTAACTATAAAGAATAAAATGATGAGATAACTACTAATGATGTAGTTATCATCATTAGTAGTTATCTGATCTACTATTTGCTCCTTAAAAGGCAGTATAAGAATTGATGCCTGGGCTGGGGTTGTGGCTCAGTGGTACAGCACTTGCCTCACATGTGTGAGGCACTAAGTTTGATTCTCAGCACCACTGATTATATTAAATGAATAAAATAAAGGTCCATCAACAACTAAAAAATATAAGACTGTCACCCTTGGCAATATGAGCCAGGATGCAACTGGTTCCTATCTCTGTCTTTATTCCTAAAATTACAGATGCGTGATTTTAATCAATGAAACCACCTTTAGAAGAAATGTTTCTGCAAAAATGGGATCCATATTGTCCATAAAGAGAGTAACTCATATTAAACTTTCTTCATCATGGACGCCAGTGTTATCATCAGAATATAAGGTGTCCCAAAAGTCTTGGTACAATTTTAAGTTTTAGTAACCTCAGAGTACAGATGCTAAACACTAAATTTTGACTATTTTGTTGTTGTTGTTTGGTACTAAAGATTGAACCCAGGGACACCTAACTACTGAACCACATCCCCAGCCCTTTTTTGTATTTTATTAAGAGACAGGGTCTCGCTGAGTTGCTGAGGCTGTCTTTGAACTCGTGATCCTCCTGCCTCAGCCCACCAAGCTGCGGAAATAACAGGCATGTGCCACCAGCTAATTTGGACTTATTAATGACTAAAAGCATAATTTGAAAGTTTAGTTCATGACTTAACTATTCTTTTTTTTTTAAGATGGAGTCTGGCTATGTTGTCCTGGCTGGTCTCTACTCATGGGCTCAAGCCATCCTCCTGCCTCAGCCTTTTTATTTTGGGGAGGAGGGGTACCAGAAATTGAACCCAAGAGATGTTACCACTGTTTCACATCCCTAGCCCTTTTTACTTTATTTGGAAATAGGGTCCTGCTAAGTTGCTTAGGGCCTTGATAAATGGCGAAGGCTGGCTTCAAACTGACCATCTTCCTGTCACAGCCTCCGAGTAGCTGGGATTATAGATGTGCATTACCATGCCAGATAAGGAATAAATTTCATTATCACAGATTACTTGGGGCATCTGTTAGCACTCTAGGAGTGGTCATGAATATGGCAAATCTCTCCTGTGTAAGGCAATAGCCTTTTGTGCTCAAAAGCCAAATCTTTCCCTTTATCATCAATGACAATGTTCCCAAGGCTCTCATAAACACTCATAGTTCTACTCATGGGTATGGAAGTACCAAAACCAGAAATTGAAGTCTCACAATAGCCACTGCCATACATGACTAAGGGTGTGCTGCTCAAAGGAATAAATGCCTGGATGAGAAGCAAGGACCCTTGGTATAAATAACGTGCTTTCTCTTTCCTTTCTTAATGGCGTGAAACAGTTTTCTAACATTTGGCAGGCAACCTAAGATGATATCAAAATAAACCTCCTCATCTTCTATTTGTGTGTGTGTGTGTGTGTGTGTGTGTGTGTGTGTGTGTGTGTGTGTACGCGCACACGCGCACACGAACACACTGGGGATTGAACCCAGAGCCTTGCACGTGCTGACCCCATGCTCTGCCACTGAGCTAAAGCCCAACCCCCTACCCTGCATGCTTTTAGTTTGGTAAAATGCTGTTATCCTAGTCACTTAGTTACTAACTGGATAAGCAAACCTATTTCTAGTCATGTGCCTATATTCAAACTGACTTTACCATAAAAGTAGTATGCAGTATGCACTAAGTATAGAGTTTCATCTGCTAGTCCTCTTGACAAGCTTCAGGCATTGCTCTTTGCAATCATCTACGTCCACGGAAAGGCACTCTGTACCAAAATTAGCACACTGAGCAATCAGGGACACAGAGATGTGGGGGGTGGGAGAGACTATGGGGCTGAATAGCTAGAAAAATCTAAAAGTAGTATTGATCTATGAGTCTAATAAGCAATAATAATCATCTTTGACTTCTTAGACCACTAGAAGTACAGGTTATCTTACACAAAACAATGAGTAAGTTGATTTGGGAAGAAATTATCAATACTTCCTCCATTCAGAGAATACCCTCCTATTTTTAAAGTGAGTGCCTTTAAAAAAAAAAACACTCAGCCATAAAACTCAGGAAACAAAGTTCTGAAAGTCATTAAGCAACTGTAGTCTTGGATATAAGTACTCAGCAAGTTGACTGGGGAATACTTAAAGATTTCCAGATAGATATTACCTGGTTACTGCTATCTCTTCCCTTCCTTTTCCCCCATATGTATTTCTGCATGTAAATTCTCAGCTCAACTTCAGATATAGGAAAAGAAGTTAACTTTCCCACAAAAACAGAAAGGCCCTAAAGTTACACAACTAAACTAAGATGATACCAGTTGTATGACTGGACCATAAGAATCAGGAAGTGTTACCATAAAAAATGAAACCTTAGTTCACATTACAATGAAATACCCTGAATTTTCCAAAAACATCAATCTAAATACCACATATCATGGTATTTAGAGAATGCAATGCCTAAGAGAATGAGGGTATTCTCTGCTAAGTTGAAAGGCTATAATATGAAATGCCAACATAGAAGTTCCAATCAATGTACAATACCCACGGCAAGCCTGTGACTTTCTCACACCAGACAGTTGTTCACACTCTACTAAACCATTCCACCTATTGAGAGGCTGACCTAACAGGAGCTAGGAATGAAACTGAAGCGAAGTATTCATACCTTTCAAATGATCTGGGATATTCAAAATTATCTAAACCTGTGCAGAGACTCCTCTAAGGAAGCATAGACTAGAAGCTGAATATATTTTTAATTATCCCAATATACTTTCAATGTGGCTCTTTTAAAAATGAATCAAACCCTGGGGGCTGGGGCTGGGGCTCAATAGTAGAATGCTCATCTAGCACGTGCAAGGCACTGGGTTCAATCCTCAGCACCACATAAAAATAAATAAATTAAATAATGGTATTGTGTCCAACTACAACTAAAATATAAATATTTTTTTAAAAAGGATCAAACCCTAATATCCTTTTGATTTTCTTTCTTTCTTTTTTTTTACCATGAACTGAGATCAGACAGCTGTGCAGCATCTGGAGACAGCATGTTGGTTGTGCCCTGGAAGAATCTCTTGGGCTGGCTTTCTGTTTCCATCTCACCTAAAATGGAAAGAGATGATGTGACTTTAATGCAATTTTATAAATATAAGATTAGTGGGCTGGGGCTGTAGCTCAGTGGCAGAGCGCTTGCCTAGCATGTGTGAAGCACTAGGTTTGATCCTTAGCACCACATTTTAAAAAAAGGTATTATGTCCATCTACAAAAAAAAAAAAAAAATTGGTGTGAAAATCAGGTGATCTTTATTTAACCAAAGCTCAGAATGCTTCTTTGAATTATTACTTAAATTATTTCCATGTGCTTTAATATAGAAGAAATATGCTTCCACATAACCTCAAGCAAAAAGTGAACAGCCTTAGCCAGGCACGGTGGCGCATGCCTGTAATCCCAGGGGCTCAGGAGGCTGAGCCTGGAGGATCATGGAGTTCAAAGCCAGCCTTAGCAAAGGTGAGGCGCTAAGCAACTCAGACCCTGTCTCTAAATAAAATACAAAATAGGGCTGGGGATGTGGCTCAATGGTTGAGTGCCCCTGAGTTCAATCCGCAGTACTCAAAAAAAAAAAAAACAGAACAGCTTTAAAAGAATTTCTTATTCATAACATGTAGCATGTTATGAATATATTCATGTTCTTTAATAGAAGAATAGAACACAGATTACATCAGGCAAAATGAACCAAAGCTAAATAATAGCTGAACTAAAGCATTACCAAACAGAAAAAAAGCTCACAATAAATAATTTATGCTAGATGGTTAGCAAAGATTATTTTTAAACAATATTTTTTACCTTTATTTTACTTATTTTTATGTGGTGCTGAGGATCAAACCCAGGGCTTCACACTTGCTAAGCAAGAACTCTACCACTGAGACACAAACCCATTCCAGCAAAGATTATTTATGTTTTAATATCTGAACATTTCCTGAGATGACATTAAATGGGTTAAAGATGTATTGTCAGTAAGTAGCATGGAAGTAAAAGTTTGCTTTACACTATTTAATGAAAATTAAGATTTAAAAATACAAGTTTGAGGGCTGGGCTCAGTAGTAGAGCACTTGCCTAGCACACATGAGGCACTGGGTTCAATCCCTAGCACCATATTGAAAAAATTAAATAAACAAAATAAAGATATTATGTCCACCTATAACTAAAAATATTTTAAAAATACAAGTTTTAAAGTACATGTGCAATTAAAAGCAACTATTTTTCAGTTCTCAAATTTGGTATCGTAATGCTAACTTAAACCTATAGATGTTTTCAGAAATGATAACAGTAAAACTTGGCACCAAAAGAAATAATGCTAAACATTTTGCCACCAAGTAGTAGGGTTGTCTTACAACTCTGAATCAGGCAGAAAATGCCCCTTTTCAAAAAAGGTGTGCTTTCATTTAAAACATGCACTTCTTTGAAAATGACATTTTATTTTTTTGGTACTAGGGACTTTACCGAGTCCCTTTTATTTATTTTTTTATTTTGAGGCAGAGTCTCATTAAATTGCCAAGGCTGGCCTAGAATTTGCAAGCTTCCAGAATAGCTGGGATTACAGATGGCTAACTGCACTGTACCTGTCCCCACCTTTTCTTTCCATGGTGTGGGGGATGGAACCCAGGGCTTGGCACATATTAGGTAAGCACTCTATGACTGAGCTACATTCCCAGCCCCAGTTTGAAAATGAAATGTTATAGACATTTTAATTCATGGTGCTATCTATATACCCAGTAGGAAATAAGTACATTTAATAATGAACTTAAGTTTTGAACTTAAAACTGTACAAGATTTTTATGAAAGAAAAACATTAAAGAAAAACAAATGGAACATTCACTTTTTCCGTATTTTCCATCAATTCATGTTATCCTTCCTCTAGAACTATTCTGAAAATTATTAAAACTCAGAAAGTTAATATTTTTATTTCTCCACCCCTCCCCCATGTTTTAACATGTAGCTTTAAAAAAAATGCTGGGGCTTTCAACTTCACTTTACTATCACAAAACTTCAACCCTATTTTGCAAAGAATCCCTCCATCTGCTGGTTTATCTTGGAATAGCTACAAAACTGACAACCATAGTAATTCATTAACTTCCTGCAACAAAATTTAAGTTAATAATCATAGTTTTATTTTCAAGTATCATTTCTACTTAATTGCCTGAAAATGTTCCTAGAATTGTACATAACTCTTGTAAGATTAAAGACTCTTTATAAAACATATTTGTTAAATATAAATATTATCAACATATAAGGATCTATTTTCTATATCACATCATCTTTAGTTTTAAGTTGTCTCAAATAGAGTACTTTTTGCATCTGTGTGTGACCCTAGGGCTGGAAAGATTTCACCAAACCCTAAGTATCAGTTCACCAATATAAGTAGAGTTGATTTGTTCATTGGCCATGAAGAATAATTTCCACAAAGAACTACTTATTCAATTGCTTTTTAAAATTTTTTTATTGTTGTAGGTGGACATAATACCTTTATTTTATTTATTTATTTTTATGTGGTGCTGAAAATGGAACCCAGTGCCTCATGTATGCTAGGCAAGCACTCTACCACTGAGCCACAACCCCAGCCCTTAATCAATTGTTTTTCAAAATCCCTTGTGAAAACTCTTCCTCAAAATGCCATCTGATATTTACAATCACACGCTCATAACCCCAGGATTAATGGCTGATGCCTGTTAAATTTGCCTTTGTTTAAAAAAAGGTGGGCTGGGGGCTGGTGGCTGAGGCAGAAGGATCATGAGTTAAAGATCAGCCTCAGCAACTTAGTGAGACCCTGTCTCTAAATAAAATATTAAAAAGTGCTGGCGATGTGGCTCAATGGTTAAGTGCCCCTGGGTTCCATCCCAGGTAACAAAAAAATATGCCTGCCTTCAGGTGCCTTCTGCATGCATCTAAAATTAGTATTGACTGACACCACTTTAGTGCTTCATGATTGAAAATAAGGTAATTAAAGAGAGTACCCAATTACATGGAAAACTCTATAGACCTGAATATATGGCAATTCTTGCTTTGCTGAGGTATATATAATATGGTGACGGGGGTGGATCTCACCTTACATTTGAGCATACAGCATGTTTACAGATATATTTGCTATGACATTATCATACTTCCACAATATCACAATTATGCATCTCTTTTACATTCAGATCACTGAGAGGCAATATTTTGGGAATATATATCATAAATATATGAATAAAATTCAGATTGGAAGTGTAAGAAAATATAAACAGTATCAAATAGCTAATTTACAAAATTTACACTCAGTAGAGCAAGTGTACAGTGGGAATACTTGACATTTCTTTAGAAAAAAAGGAGAGCAATGCTGTGAGCTCACTTCAGATAAGAATACCAGTTTTTAATTTAGGCGTGGATGACTTAAATACTAGAAATGTGATACATTCCTTCTTTCCCCCCCAGGTTTATTGAGGTATAATTGCCAAATAAAATTGCATATATTAAAATTATGAAATCTGATGATTTGACATGTACTTATTGTGAAATAAGGCAGTCAATAATTCAATCAAGTCATTTACCTCTATCACTTCACTTACTTACCTTTTTTAAGTTTTTAAGAACATTTAAGAGCCACTCTCTTAGCAGATATAAATACATATACAATATTGTCAATCACTGTCACTATGTTGCTACATACCTTTTCTTTTAAGAGGACCAAGAACACTAGGCCTAATGCACTTGACTGGACTCTGACTCCTCCTGCTTTGATGAATAAGCAAACAGAATAAGGTGAAGTTCTTCTAACAGATGCAAGATAAACAGTATTATAGCTCATCAAATAAGCAAGCGAAATTGGCAGTCATATAGGTAGAAATGGAAAGCGCTTTTGTCACTAGACTGAATAACTGAAATGTCAATACATGATTTGATCCAGAACATGCAATCTGGAATGACAGCATTTTAAGCCTTTTTAAAATTTTTTTATATTTATTTTTCAGTTTTCAGTGGACACAACATCTTTATTTTATTTTATGTGGTGCTGAGGATCGAACCCAGCGCCCTGCGCATGCCAGGTGAGCGCGTTACCGCTTGAGCCACATCCCCAGCCCTTAAGCCATTATTTAAAATTAATTCCATAGGACAAAACACCCATAACCAAAAAGAAACATTATTTAAGAAGTTATTTATATTCTGACAAACTTGTTTGTGTGTGTGTGTGTGTGTGTGTGCGTGTGTGTGTGTG